CACAACAAACACATTTGCAGGTTAGAAATTGGCAGAAGAGGACGGCACTTTACTTGAAAGCACTATTTTCATTGGCCCAACTGGAGGAATATTGTCACTTACTGCTATCTTGCCTGAAACTACGTCATTTTTTGCGCACTTGCGGCTTTCTCATTTGTCTCGTTTTTATAAAATTAAGATGAATTTTGCTGTTTTAGCAATTTCAGTGATTTTGTCAAAAAGAGCTATTCGATGAATTTTAAAGGAAACTCGATTTCGAAAATTTGACACCTCCTGGTCTCTTCGCTATCACGGCAGAGGAGTGAGTTTAAGTGTTGCAAAACAAACGGCATTTTAAACTCTACAATCAAATAATTAGGTACCTACATGCCCAACAATACCGGAGTCTTCATACAGTAACTAAGAGAGCCAAATCCTCCTTTTGGAACAGTCAAACCTCTATAGGAACGCTTTCTTTTTCATTGAATACCGGTGCGGGATAAAAGATTCCTCGAAATCGTCAGAAAGTTCATCGAAACAATCCATTGTTTGTTGAGTAAGCAACAGTATTTTTCCGGGAGAATCTTGACAGATCCATATTTTGATGATGTGTATGTATGAGCCGCTTTTACGGCGCGCTAGGGCGCTCTGCGACGCCTATTCTCCACAGGAATCTGTCATGGTAGAGATCCTCCGGAAGGTGGCATCTCTCCATCTCTTCATGGATGCCCTCTACCCACCGTTTGGCTGGACGCCCTCTCCGTCGCCTACCTGGGGGGACCCACTCCAACACCTTCTTCGGCAACCTGGTATCAGCCATTCTCTGCACATGCCCATACCATACCAATTGCTTGGTCATGATATCGTGCACAATCGTCCCCTCAACGCCCATTTATTTGAACGCCCAATATTTTGATGATAATCCTCCTTTTACATCGATAAACACGGTAAAAGTGCCGGTAAATAATATCATTCGGCTTTTAATAAATTCCATTCGCAGTTTAATTGAGAATTTATGTTTTTGAGTTTTTACTTTTTTTCATTGAAACTCTAGAGAGAAGTGAAAGCGCTAGAACACGAAAGATAAGTAAAATATAACCCATAAAAGCAACTGTCATTATAGAACTACCAAAATAATAACTCCTCTAAATCAAACTATTTTTTAAAGAAAAATAATGAATTTCTCGGCCAGTATGAACGTAACTAAAGATAAAATAAAATGAAGCTCCATTAATATGTCAGTAACAGGTCCTAGTTTCGAACAGATTCATATAAGGTACGAGAGCTACATACTCAGCTCGTCTTTTCCTCTACGAAAGAACGTAACTACATTTCAGTGTTGCCAGATTTTACTGGCTTTTATGTTAGTTTTTACTGGCCAACTGCCAATTTCTGACTGAAAATTGAACTAATTTTCCTTCTGATCTCGTGCAAAAAGCATACAAGTTTTCGAAGAAATTTACGCAGGTTTGTTCTCGTAAAAAATTGAATTTTTTCGGTTAATTTTGCAACCATGGAATGGAGTTACATTCACTTGTGCGGAAAACGACGAATTGGGTTCTAATTCACAAATCATGGGATCAAAATAAAACACTGAAAAATAAATAATTAAGAAAGTGTATTTCAGTGTGCTATCAGAGAAGGTCTTTTTTCTTATGATCCATATCACTGATATCGTATCACTGATTCACGTTCTGGTTTTCTTATGCTGCATATCATAAACTTGACGGGACAAATGTATTAACCAACTATACAACTACCAAAGCCCCAGACAAGGGTTCCTCCAAGTATTACGGAACGCAATTTTTCCGATTCCCCCCCTCCCCCCTTCTGCCACACCTGTAACGCAGCCTTACACACCCTTTTTGAATTACGTAACGCTGACCTGATC